AGTAGCTCACCCTCAGTGTCAAACGCCCCGGTCCGAGTGTCTCAAGACGTATTGAAACCACTCTGGGTATTGCTTCCTTGCTACGTGGGAAGGGATTAAAGGTATAGGTTGAATCGACGGCCGAACCGTGCATATGTCGAATCCCCAAGTTGTGCACGGATGTACTCACAGGTGGTGCCATATATGCTAGGTTTTCACGGCCCGGCTGATGTTTGACACCAGCCCGACAACCACGCCTTCTGGTTCGGTCTCTTCCCTCCGCGCTTGAAGCAGCGGCTCCTCCAAACTCACCCGTCCCCTGTGGCCCACTGTCTTCGACGTTGGCAGGCTCGGGCTCAACACCAGCTTCGGCTGCGGAGGCCTCCAACGCTGCCTCGAGCTCGCACTGCTCCTGAATGCGCCGAGCGATCGACTCGTGTTCCTCTTCCAAGGAAGACTCGTCGTCGTCACCAAGAGGGTCGAAAAGGTTATTAGTGGGTATAGGTGGACTTTGGGGAGTCGAAGAAGCTTGCTCAAGCAAACGTTCAGGCGGCACGAACACCTCTTGGTCCTCTTCGGCAGGGATCGGCTGATCTTGCTCTGCTGAATTGGGGGGTTTCGTTGGTCGGTGGACTCGGCAGTTTGGTTAGCTCCTAACGAATGTTCGACCACGGGGGTCTGATGACCTTGGTCCGTGGCGTCGGCGTTAGGAATGGTCTCACTGTCAGGGTCTACAGGCACCGCGCTTGGAGCACCGGCGCCCTCTCCTGACTTGTCCTGATCCTCCAGGTTGGCTGGGCCTGCAAAAGGTTCTTCAAGCTCGAGTTCCCGATCCTCAATCTCGAATGTCGACATTGGGAACAGGGTGGGACCAGAATCGGCTTCCGATGCGGCGCTGGCCCGTTTGGAGCTGTCAGAACCCGCGCCTGCGGCAGCGGCTGGGGGATCTTGGTTGTCCACAAAAAGGTTCAAAGCATCAACGGCCTGAGAACCAAGTTCAGTCAAGGACGTGACCTCCAGTTGGTCCTGCCCACCTACCCCTATAGCGGATCCCGCTTGGAGCAGCGGCTTGCGCTGGTCCAGGATCGGGTCTTTGGCTGGGGGGGTCACTACTTAGTGCTAGCGAATCCGCGCCGGAGGCAGCGGCTTGCGCTGGCTCGGCCTGGGAATTGCGAGGAGGTGTAGCCCTTGGCATTGGGACTAATGGAGGCGGACTATTAGAGCTCGTAGGTTGGTTAGACCTACGGCTGATAACCAATGAATTTGCTAAGGACTCCGGGATATCAAGGAATAACCACCACAATCTATTGATGGGGAGGGTTACCGCAAGATACGCAATGGAGTGGATGACCCGCTGGCGGGTCGGCACACGACGGGGGGTGTCGGAACACTCGGTACCCGTTGTGTGGTTGGAGGGCGTGCGAACGAAGGGAGCAAGTTACGGCAACCGAGCGAATGCGGCACGGCGAGCGAAGCGACCGACGTGCGCGGATGCTGAAACAAACGCGGACGCGCCTGTTTCTTGAGCCATAACGGGCATCGAGTGAGACGAAGTTCACGGACGACAACCTAGACTGTACATGTGAACCTGCATGACAAGTTAGGGGTTATCCATGCTTCACAAACTTTGACTTATATACCGTATATTCAGAACATTGGGGCAAGCTCACACACTCTAGACTCTACACAAGTAATGCCAACTTACCCCTTTACCCGCGGCAAGAACCTATCGCCTTCACCCCAGGTGGCGTCTCGGAACAATTCTGCCAGCCCCATCAATTTTTGATTTCACCAAAATTACAAACAGCAATACTTCACCAGATGCCCACACGACTTCTTCAGCCACCTCACCGGCACTTCCAAGCCTACATTTACCACTTTGCAAAGGCGAAAGCGCCAATTCACAAGCAAAGACAATGCACTGAGAGCATAATTTCTGGTGCACGACCAAAGCACCAACACAATGAAGGCATACCGGCATACCATAATGTGTGCGTACGTACATGAATCTGCAATGATCTCTGATGCAAATTGACGCGGAGGTCTCTCGGTACCACACTGTTTGGGGATAACGAACTTTCAAAAACCCGGGTTTCAAACATTAAAGCGGGACCCATTTCGGCACGACATCCTTTCCTGCATGCGAGACTCAACACAAGCACCAATTCAAGGTATCGACAACGGCAAGACTTGAACGTCCATCTCGTGGGTTTGGGCTCCGCTGGCCACTGAAAATTCAGAATCAGATTCGGTGGCCGCGCTTGCCTCCGAGAAAACCAATGTTTTTAGATGAAATTCGGGGAAGGTAACTCACTTCTTCCTTGGGGAGGTGGACGAAAAGTGTTTTGGAGTGTGCGCGTTCAGATAAAAGGCATGTTTATGTGAGCGGCGCGATGCGAGAGGAAACTTCTGGTGCACCTTCAGCCTGCGGCGCTGCATCAAAACAGAGTTTGAAGTTCCCAATCAAGTTTGCTACTACCATTAAGATCTACATCAGAGACGGTGTCACTCACTTGAGCGGGGAAACACGAAAGGTAGAGACGGACCGGGTAGCTGTCGGGACCTTTTCTGGTGAGGGACTGTGTCCGGTGTGGCTAAGGAACGTTTCCTTTGGCCAATCATGGAAAATCTCACCGCTTCTAGCTCCCTCAGTGTGGGATGACCTCTTTTCGCAATGTTTTCTACCCGAACTCACAACCCAAGTAAGTGCACACTAAATAGTCTCCTGAGCACTTCGTGATGCTAATGATGCACTGTTCATTTGCATCACTCGCATCACCAAGACCTTAAAATATACATGTTCATACCCACTCCGGCCTAGCCTATCCGCTGGCTTTCATAATATACATACTGTAATAGTTATATAGAAACTTTTTGCGGCAGCCTTGCCAAAAGCCTTGGGTGGGGGCTGGAACTGAAAATTCAAGGGGAGTCTTACCTCGGAACAATTTTTTGTGGACTTGGATGGAATCTTCAGGCTGTGCAAAAGACCTCCTAAGTGGAGAATCAGAAATTTTAAAGATTGGGTGGTTTCAGATTGTGGCCAAATTGCGGAGAAAGATCTAACACAAAAGTGATTGTAATGATCGAGGAGTGCATAAATGGAGCGCTAAATCCGCGCAAGAGCTGCAGGAGTGGGTTCCGGACAATTGAAAGAGTGCGAGGATGACTGGAAGTGCAAAGGTGCAAGGGTGCAAGGGTGCAAGTCCAGTCGACTAAACACAAGTGCAAGACATTGTGGCAAGCGAACCTAGGCAAGTTCACAAGCGCAAAACACCCTCCCTTATCAGAGGAATCCTCCGTCAGGTCCGCCATGCGAATTCCTGCAGGAATTCCTTGCCTCGCCCCCATGAATTCGTGCGAGCTCAGCCGCTTCGTCAGCCTTGTTATATATTGTGGTGTCAACAAAAGTGTCAACAACACACAAGACATTTTTTATTCAGAAGAAAGCTGAGTCTTCCACAAGCTTCTTTAGATGCCGCCTCAGTTTTCATCTCGTGTGTAAACAATGTTCATTGCTCTCTGAAAACGCCTGGCTCCAGAAACATTGCCAGGGTCAAAGGTTTTGCCATCCTGGAGTCAAAACGGGATCGAATTCACAAACCAGGACCTTGCCTCAGCCTGAATGATCACCCTGACGTGCCGGCCGCCTCACAGAGACACCAAGCAGACCGCAGCAAAAAACGAAGCGACGAAGCACTGCTTTTCCTGCCTGGAGCAGCCTGGACTCGTGTGCCAGGGACGTTTTCATATTTGGCCTTGACATGAGCGAAAAAGATCTTTCTTCATCTCATCTGTCGAAGGCCTTTGTCAATGCGACGTTGCAAGTGCGCAAACCTGAGAGGCTGCATGACAGTATGTAGAATGCAAGAGAGAAGGGGTTTTACAGTCTGTCACTTTGGCCCCGGTACCAGTGAGGCAAATACCTTTCTTGCGCTGTGAAGGTCGATCATCTATAATGTAGTCTCGCTTTGCCTTAGGCCTCAGCGAAAGAGAACTGCCACAGTGGCAGTTCTGGGCCGAAGAAAGATCGGAGTCTTGCACTCTTCGAAACCATGCCACTCTTTTCTGGTGGTTAACTGTTAGCTGCTCCTTGCTGACTAAAAGGTGGCGCTCAGGAAGTGGCAGCATGCGCACCTTGATTTTGACACCCGTACTGCACAGAATGTGCAAAACTTGATGGGCAATACTTCATGCAGTTGGGCTGCAGTGCGAGACTTTTGTGCCTCCCGCTTTGCAGTTGAGCGCGGTTTCTTGGATCCTTTCCCAACCTCCAAAGTCAGTGTGCAACATACACTAGCATGTTCAGAGTTGCTTCCATTTGGTGCTTCTCAGACCTTGCAATGTATTCAACATCATTACTGAAACGTTTTGAAGGCAGCTGTTGCTCTGGTGTGGGTACTAGCAAAAAGGTGAGCTTCAGACTTTGCGCGCCATCGGTTCGGCAGCCACTTATCTGCTGATACGCTTGATAACGGTACATTCAAATGTATCATTTCAATCTGTCAACTTGAATGAATCATTGCTAGCCGATGCATCAACCAAGACATCAGATATTTGAGCCAATGCGGCTTCAGCGAAATGGTTAGAGCTCTCTTTGGGACTTCTTGTCAGGTTGCTCTCTGAGGGTCTTTCTGGAATATAGCTCCGAGGTGCCACTGCGGCCGCAACCTGAAATGTTGCTGGTGAAGCCTACATCAAGAGTGCTCATCTGATCTCTTTCCTTCTCTTGGGTTGCACGTGCACTGCAGGCAAATATTGAACTGCAAGCTACAAGCCTATCCGTCACAAGCTTCCAAAACAAAATGACGTGGTCTGTGCAAAACAGCAAAGGCAAAAACTCTGAGTGGATGACCGCTGCAACTGCTGCAACTGCAGTCAGCCTGCACACACCCTTCATTGAGCCAGAAGGCCTTCTGTCAGAGACACGTGCTGGTCAGCACTGCCCAGCGTGTGCACAGCTGGCTCAACGGCAAAAACAGTGTATATATATATATATAACTACATATATATATATATATGTTCAGTCTTTCAGCAGTTTTGTTTGTTCTTCTCGCATTCCCGGATGTGTACAGTGGACTGTGTGAAGCACAGCATTTGTGCACTCCACCAAAAGAAATGCGGGTCAAGTCAGAAATAGCCGAATCTCTGTCTGCATTGTGCTCACAAACCTGAAAGAAATCGTGGAAAAGGAGTTCAGGACCAAACCATCACGATGCATTCTTGCCTAAATCCACGCTGTACATGCAGTGTCTGTCACTTGAGAATAGGTAGAACTCACCAACGACACACCTACATCACTGCTTCTGTTTCATCGTCCACGTGGACCCTGGACAACTAGGCATTTGTGTGAAATCCACGTTATTGCACAAAATCCACCGTGTGTGTCCCACACTCGACAAAGCGCACCACATTGGAGACCCTGGAAGGCAGGGGTCAACTTCATCCACAAGTGCCCCTGACAAAGGAAGTAACCAAAAAGTTCTGATGTTCAACGATTGATTGAACCAACAGTTTCCCGGTTAGCTGGTTTTCCTTCAGAATCCTTCATGTGTCTTATCTTTACATAACTATATATATATATTTGTTCAATACCCTTGACTGTCATTGTTTTTGAAAATACTTTTGTGTTTCTTGGTCCCTTCAACCCTTTCATGTTCCTTTCATTCAGGTTGATCCTTTCATGTTCCTTTTATTTCCTTGCCGTTCATATATAGTCCTTCCATTTTCCTGGCTACCCAGTTGAGCAAACGGCTTCCCGCTTGAGCGGTCTTCCTTTAAAGTATTTTTTAAATGAAGTTGTATCTCAATTGAATTTCTTTAAAGAGCTTTAAAGTCTCAGCATTCTCCTTTCACTATTCTCGTCTTTGGCATCTTTGCATGTGACTCAATTTGTCCCACTTACCTGATTGAATCGGCGGTTTCCTGATTACCCGGTTGAAACGGCGGTGTCCTGCTTGTCCGGTTTTCCATTGAAAGTCGAAAGTCAATTTGCATTCTTTCATTTTGTGAATTATGTATTGTCATGTCACCTCTTTTTGTTCCCCTAACCCCTTTTGTTGCAATATGTTCTTATTGTCCTTCCATTATGCGCGGTTACCTGGTTGAACCAGCGGTTTCCCGCGAACTGGCCAAACCGAGTAACTCTATCTGGTTGAAGGGGCTGGTTCACCAGTTTCTCGGTTCCCTGCTGCAAGCCGATCTGTGCCCGGCTCGCACCTCTGGTGATGTGTGCGCGGTATCCCACTTCGCACTGGTGGTTTCGTGATGTGATATAATGCGATGCCCTTTACTACTAGTAGCATTCTTGCTCCTAGTAGTAAGGCCAGGAGCCCCTGGTAGCGCTTGCTCCTAGTAGCGATGCCCTTTGCTCCTAGTACCGATGCCCTTTGCAGTTGGCGATTTGGTGGGAATTAGTGAAGTGCGTTTTCACTGACAGGTGAAGTGAGTCGCGCGAGCAGCATACAGTGGTGGGTCTTTACCAGGGGGTTGAAATGGCATGCTGCTTCCACGGTCTTCCACTGTTGGTGTCGTGGAGATTTAAACTGCTGGAAGTTGTAGTTTCTCATCGTTGGAGAAGGGATGCTTTGCAGTATGTTATGCGCCAAAACGGCTGATGTGTGTGTGTGTGTGAGAGAGAGAGAGAACATTCCACTTGATGTGAGGCAAACTCTTCACGTGTGGGTGGAAGCGTTCTTGTCTCTCTAAAAACAAAATGCAAATTGAGCAACTGGACGGTGAAGCTCGCTGGCAACAACTGTCTTGATGATTTTCTTCAGGGCTTTCCATCAGATGCGAGAGTTTTGAGCAGCTCAGCTCTCCAAGACGAACCTTCTGAAGCAACAGTCGCCTTCCACGCCGCTTTTGCCAAAGATTTGGCTGCAGATTTTCGCCCAACTCCAGCAGCTCTGCGGAAGGCACCAAAAAAAATCAAGGACAAAGCTGCAGGGTTTCCTGCAAACTCCTGCTCTATCAAGTCGGTTGTCTCTCGAAGTCCATCTCGCATGTTCATTGATTCAACAAAGTCCTCCAAGCCGTCCCTCTTGGCCTCATTTGGACCTCTCATTTGAGATGCCTCGGCACTGATTCGAGACATCTCCTCCTCTTTTACTTCAAAAAATAATGGCATTCGCTTCTTCAATCTTAGCAAAATCACACCATCCTCAGAATCATTTGTTGCAGTTGCATGGTTTCTCGCCTCATCCCGAGAGAATGCTTCGCAAAGTTGCGATAGCCTTTCTCGCCGCCAATCACTTTCACTCTGAACCCGAGAGCACGCTTCACACAAACAGTCAAAGCCAAAGCGATCGCTTAATTCTCCCAATCTTTCGCGCGTTGGAGCACACAAGTTTAGAAAAGACAAATAGGAAATGCATAGTTCTTCTCCCTCGGAAATGTCTCGAGTCGCCTTCAAAACTTGAACTCCTCTGTCTTCCTGCCAGCTATTGTGCACGTTCGGCTTGCAACTGTGATTAAACCTGGATAAAAGCAAAAACAATCCGGCCGACTCATCTGATAGTCCAATCGCATTCGTGCGAGCTATTCCAAGAGCAGTCTTGTCTTTTGCACAACATGTGTCTGCCAAATCCCAGAATTGGGCACGGACTTCTTCATCACATTTGCTCTGCAAAGTTTCAGTCAAACTCTCTTCCCAATGGTCGAAAGATGTGTCATCCACCAGTACATCTTGCAAATCCCCAAACAAAACATCAAAAGATTGCTTTTGAAAAATCAACAAAGGGGCTTCTTCAAGCAAGAGATCTCCACACTTGATAGATGATGTCGCAATCACACCCAGCCCCTTCTTCCCCACTGCATGGACTGAAATTTTGTTGCTTTTATAGTCAATACTGTCAACAACATCATTTTGCCTTCTGTAATTTCTCGCTTTTGCCTTTGAAACCTTGCTGACATCGGATCTTCTCCGAACGACCCTGCATTGCAATTCTCTTGCAGCTGTTGCACATGAAAGAACTTGGAGATGACCCCAGGATCTTTGGAGCCTGCAAGGTTTCCCAATTTTCGGAGCACCAAGAACTTGCAAAGGCAGTCCGCTGTGAGAGCTCTGAGAACTTTGAATAAAGCAGTGAAGTCTCATCTCTTCTGTGGCTCAAACGTAGTTGAGGAACAGTTGAAACATACCTGCTGACTCCCTACCCTACACACTCACACACGCACACATACTATAGGAAAGAAAGACTCAAGTGGAAGAAATGCACATTCCCTTTCCCTTTCATGCAAAACGCTGCTGCCATTCTATATTTTTAGATGCTTGGGCCTTGAACGGCTTGGGCAAGGCTGCAAAAGCTGTCAGGTGGGATTATCAACCGTCTGACAGTATGACTGCTGTAACACAGAGAGGCCAGCAACACCTTCAGGAAAAATCCAGCCAAAGAATAGAAAGGGCAAAAGCACCAAGCGATGCGTGCACAGAACAAACAAAGTAAGCAAGGCCAGCATCAGGAACGATTGGAAAGCTGGCATCTTGCTGGAGACACACAATTCCAGGCTATCATTCCAAGCTGTTTCTATCTAGGCTACATGTTGTTGCTGCCGATCTCAATGACTCAACCAGCCAAACGTTGTGGTGACCCAATTGAAAGTGGAATAGTGGGATAAGTGCCACGACGGATACTTTTCCAGCGAATTTGAGACGGAGGCCTTCAGCCTGTACAAACCCACACGGCTAACGGATGCCAACTGCATTGCTTGCTGAAAGGAAAACATTGGCACCCAACGGTTCGTTGGGACATGCGTCATCCCACTTGGGTGGGTGCGCTGAGAATAATCACTGGGGCTTTCCTTAGTTGGGCCACCTAAAATACCTAAAGACCAGGATAACCAAAACCAGTAAGAACTGATGCAGTGTGCAGCCAAAAGTCTTGCAATGATAGCATTGTAGTGGATGGGCCTTGGTTGTGAACTGATGCAAAACACATTTACAAAGGTTGCTTGGGCGGTCATGCTCTTGGAGAATTTACAAGCCCCAGCAAGTCAAGATACGATATGTAGGCCAAGAAAATTTGCTTCCTGGCAATGGAAGCATCATGCAAGTCCATCATGCAGCAATAGTAATTATTGCTTAATTGCTTGAACTGCTATCAAAGTCATGCAATGTCCTATATCACATCGAGCTGCGCTCCGGTGCATTCCGCAAGCGTCTCGATATATATTTATATATATATATACATCCGCAAACAGTGTGTAACACCAAGAAGGTCTATTTTTGCAGTAGTTCTACAAGGGCCTCTTTACTGGAACAGTTTGTTCTGGGCAAATACCTCGTGCTCTCTTTCAGGGAACATCTGCACAGCCAGCATGTTTTGAACTGCATGAGGGTACTGTATGCTGTTTGGTGGACCGTTATTAAGGCACGAACTGAAACTGCTTGTCCTTTGACGCCCGACGTCCATTTGATGTCTTTTGTGATCTTGTTCGATTGGACAAGCACAGTAGAAACGTAAAGAGTGCTGAGTGATGCCGATGTTGTGGAGAGTTTGCGGAACAAGTCCTGTCCCACAAGGGTGAGTAGCCCCCACAAGCGTCAGACCTCAATGTTTGGAAAGGATGTGAGTTACGTGCGGGTAGTACAAATTGTTGGTTTAAAGAGAACCGATTTTGGAACAGCTTACCATGTAGACTCTTCAGGTCCTTCCTGGAGGTCAAGTTTTCCTAAAAATCTAGGAATCAAATCATTAGTGTGAGCTCTTCTTCAAGGAAGCTCCTCTCAGACAGGGAAAGCTTCCTTGAAGAAGCATGAGCTAATGTGAGTAAGGAGGCAGGGCCACGAGAAAAAAAGAAAAGCTCTGCCTCAACGTCCAACCACTGCTACAGCTGGCGTGGGTGGTCTGGGCGTGGGTGGTCTGCCCGTGTGTGTGCGCTGTGAATACTGAATCTTTCCGAGTGCGTTGTGTTGCATGAATCTCCTCAAGTGTCTGCCCACTACTCTAGCAGAAAGAACCGAGTAACGCAGCATGCCACTAGTGCCACCCACATGTTACATGCGGAGAGTGCAAATCACGGTGGAATGGCGCATTCTGAAGACAAATGCCAGAAGCAAATCCAAAGTACACAGGAAGCACACTTGGAAACACTGCACCTTCTGCTAAGGCAGCAAGGTTTGACTGCTGGCAAAGTGGTCGGTCTCGGACTTGAGGTGGTAGGTTCATACTGATTCATACTGCTGGTGTTTAGGTGGCAAGTACATTGTGAGAGGTGGTGGAAAAGGTATGTCCTTCCAGAAGTGGCATCGATCACCGGATTTGGGAAGATCAAAGATTCGTCATAGCTCCGCAAAACAAGTTCAAGGTGCTCTTCGGCTAGCCTTCGCCAAACTGCGGCAACCACACAAATCTCCAAAGCGCGGCAACTCGCACGAAATCTGCACTTCAAATCAAAATGCATCTGATCTCCAGCACGTGACACGGTCGCAAGAACCTTCCAATCCGAAGTCTAAATAGGCACCAGACATCTGGGAGAACTCGATTTGCAGATCCACAGTATTAGTTGGCTCGTGCCGCGGTGCAGCGCTTTGACCTAGTTCACGTTTTTGCAGAGTCTTGTAGAGAGAAGAAAGAAAGTGTGAAGTTTTCCACAGCAGTCCTGGCTTTCGGGGGATCCATGCCAAGTGGGCAAACTGCTATCGCAGAGTCCATGTCGGAGCTTTCAGGCTCATAGACCAAATGCCTTGGAGCAACTCAAAAATGCGTTGGTGTATCTATGTAAGCATGTATTGTCCATATATATATTATATATACATATGTGGCAGGGACCTTTTGGTAACATTTCGTTGCGGATGAAAAGCACCGGCACATTTCTCACTAGCGCGCACAGGTCTCATTTGCCCATGCCACCACGCACAGGGGAAGGAGAAACCGGACGTCGCGGGTCCTTAGATCGGTTTCTCACTGTTTTTCATTGTTCAATTATTGCACATGTATATTGGGAAGCATGCGTTGCAACTAATGAATCAGCCAAAGCGTCGTCCACTGATCTCTGGCCTGTGTGAAAATTCTCCCAGTAGAACACTCCTGGCTTTGTGCCTTGGATACAAGCGCTGATGGCTGATGGTTCCCGAAGCCTAGAACGGTTGGCATGACGTTCAAAAGCTTGTTACGCTTTTCAAAAGAGTACGGCCGCTTTTGCGTTCAAGCCAGGCTGCGGCTTTCGATCTTGCGCCAGCTCAAGTTGTACGCCTTTTCCTCACAAAGGTACCGATTGAAAAATCTTTTCGATAACCATCAACCGGATTGATTCCCGCGCAGATATGAACATAGTGTTTGGTGAATTCAATTCATGAGTGGCTTCGTGCCAAAACAAATGAGGCTCCCAAAAGCCACGTGATCATACGGTTGAAAGAGTTAAAAGAATGTCTCCGTCATTTTCGCATGCCAATCATCCTTGCGTCTTTGCAACGCGTCGAACCATCCTTTGGAAGGGACAGAGGCCTCCACCATTTCCTCAGCGTGCAACTCTGAAACGCCCAGGGCGCATTGATTGAATTGTTTGTCCATGTCGGGCCGCCAGAAATATGTTGATTTGAGCGTTAAACAAAAGTTCCTGCAACTCCGTAACTTGCCCGCAATTCTGCCAAATCTGAGACCCTGGCGTGCCATCTGGGCTTGAAGCCCCTGCCAGGTGGTGCGGATGTAAATGGTCTACGCAGGTAAACTGTAAAGAAAGAGCCACTCTTGCAAAGCAATACATGTTCTTTTTGGTGGCTAGAATCAGACTCTGCTCCACATGGATTGTGAAACTAACAAGCGCAAAACACAAGCCAGAGCACAAACCTATGTACGTTTTTGTTGAAGCATCAGCTTTCGTAAGCTCAACAAATCATATGTTTCTATGTTCGCTCGGCACCGTAGTTCTAGTTTCTCTTTGGAGCGGCGTCCTACACCACCGGAGTATGGATTTCGTCGCCCGACTCACCTTTCTGCGCCCGGAATACAATCCGACGGGTCACGAAAGCATTGTCTCCCCAACGACGCACTGGCCTTGCCACCGTGGACACCATATACATCGACGGGTCCCGTAGCTCCTGGATGGGGCAACCACATACCATGACTTACAAAAAAGAATAAGCATGAATAGCACGTATATTGTTGATGCTTTGACAGTTTGCATGGCTTTTGAAGAGTTTGTTTGCTTTTGTTGTGTTTACTCTTCTTCACACTCCGCAGACCTTCGCAGGACAATGATACTTGGCTAAGATCCTTTATCTAAGCTTACTGTTCTGCTTCGACTCTTCACCTCCACCTCGCCAGATCCCCGATTCGACGAAGCGGGTGTCCTTGGACTTCTCAAGGGCAAACTCCAAGAGCTTTGCCGCATGCTGTGGCGGAAGGCCTGGGACATCGCAAACATCCGATGGTTAAAAACACAAAACAAACAATGCACTTCCAAGTCTGTCAAAAGAAGTCCTTCATCAAAAGGATTCTGATCAAAACCTTTCAACCAGCTCTCTGGAGAACATGTGAAAAAAGAAAAGTCTGATACCTTCTATACATCTCAAATATCATTACATCTGTGTCTTCATAACTCTACGCCGTTCCAGTGGCCTGTCACTGCGACGAGCGCTTCGTTTTGTACCGAAGGACCACCTTTTTGCACCTGGCTCCTCAGTGACGACCACATATCCATCCGACCGGGAAGATCGAAAGCGGACGTTCACAATCCACCGAAACATTGCTTTTGGTTCAAGGGGCGACCATCTGCATGGAAGTCTATCATAGAAATTAAGGGGGGACCATCTGGATGGACGCTGTATTACAACTCACCGACTGCCCTCGACCAAAATCTAATCTCTGAGAATCAAATTGGATTAAAGTTCACAGGGTATGTTTCTTGAAGTGCTTCACTGTCAGTCTCTATGTTTCACTTCAGATCCCCACAGAAGCCGCTCCATGGTTATTGGATCAATGCCTTCCGGGCCTGAGCCACGAAAAGACAGTCGATCCGAGAAACTTTCCCATTCGTTTCCAGGAGACAACTGAAGAAGCCATGCCATGGTATGTGAAAAGTAAGGAACTAAGCAGTAAATTGATTTTAGTGTTTATGTGAGGAAAACACCTCTTGATATGGGTAGTGGCCCTGTCATCGACCGTCTCCCCACTCCTCACCTGAAGGTGCTGCATTTTGCAGACCTTTCGCAGCTCCTGTGCCAAGCTTTCCGCATTCAATCGGATCAAGGAAAACCTAATGCAGCCTATAGGCAAACCGACCTGGCGATGATCTGTGATTGGTAGATCACTTGTCAATGTGTCAACTTGTCAACGGCTAATGCGTTTGTGTCACTCATTCACTAATAGCCGAAGTGTCTCGCATCACGACAATCAAACATGATTCGAAAAAAACGGCGCGGAGCGCTTCGGCGTAATCCGCCTGGAGGAAGCTTCTCAGCGACCTGCAGCCATGAAGATTTCGTAAAGTTCCCTCATGACACATGTCGTGGCGTCGTTGCTGTGCTAACTGTTCTCAGAATGTGCACTGTGTAGTTTGTTCTGTCCTATTTCAATCCGTACCCCTGCGCACAGCTGAACGCTCAGCATGAGAGCCGGGCCTCTTCGGCTCGCGCAACACACTGCTTCTTTGCCGCAGCGCCGCGCTCACCTGTCATGCCGGTGGCGCATCTTTGGGTATGAATATGCCATATAATGTTCCGCTGTACCTTCTTGTCTACAACATATGATGTTTGATCAATATTCTTTCATCCTGGAATGGCCATTCATCGCGAAAAAGCAGATATCTTTCGCGGATCTTTCGCGACCTCATCGCGAAGCATGTTCCTCAAGAGAGGTTGGTTACTTAACATGTTTTGGGTGAGTCAGAGAGTCATGTATATTTATATATAGAGATACGGTGGGCGGAAGAAGAAATCCTGCACCACTTTGATACAGCCGTCATCCAAAGCTGACAGACCAGCAGCCCCACATCCCTATTCCAGGTCGTTGGGGTATGGGGGTGGGGTCAAGTTTGGTAGGCAGAACTTTATCGGCACATTCGTGAAACTTTCGCGGATCTTTCGCGAAAAATCATTAATGATTTCCCCATTGGCTCAAACTGGCTCAGCCAGGTGATTGCACTTTGGCTGTATTTGGCGCCATCTCTGTGGCTAGATTGCTTCAAGCACAAATGCCTCTGACAACTATACACATCTGTGATCTATGACACATAATACAGGAATCCCACAAACATACGCTACACTACACATTGACATCCCAAAACAAACTGAAACCAAGTAAAGTTCTACGTAGAAGCTTTTTATCCAGTGGGCCATAAAAGGAGAACCAATATTAAAACCAGAACCTTCGATAAATCTTTCGCGAAAAACATGTACTTTCGCGAACCTCATCGCGAAGCTTTCGCGGAGGGTTTTAACAACATCTAAAAGGCTGTTTTATATTAAACTCCTTACGCTGGGTTTTCGATCATCTCCCATATGGCTCACAACTACTTTTTGGACATGCCCGGAAGGACTCGATTCGCCGTCAAACCCGGGTATAGGCCTTCCACGGCAAGTCCATACCAATCTGCCATCCGCTTGGCGCGCCGCTCTCTGCGCGCCATGGCAAAGGGCCAAGGGGTGAAAAGCGGAGCAACCGTAAACATAGAACATTGCAGTCAACAATGAAACATCTGTCCTTTATTGCCTTTTGAACGGATGACTTTTGTGACATTGAAACCCATTGAAACCCACGACACTTCCGCGCACCCATGGGGAAAAAAGGAAAAACTATAGCCAACAGTTCACATCGACATGCATGGTGAAGCGTTCCGTTTAGTCTCTCGGTCTCTCGTCTATTGTTTTTCGTCTTAGTCAGTCAGAATACAGCAGCATATGAAAACTATTTAGCGCATTTAGCACATTAGTCTTTTGTTGTCTACCAGAAAAAACGTCCAGCCAGCAATCAAGTTTTGCGTATTAGCGCTGTGCACGTCCATCCTACACACATATGATATGGCACGCAGTGAAACCTAACTATAACTCCACCATCTGCAAGAAATATAGAAAAAGCTAAATTATCCTTTTTGTAACAAATACTATTTGCTGTCCCCGAAATTTTTCGAATCAGTCTACCATGTCAACACTACCTTAAAACAACAAATAGTAGTAATAGTAGTCGGGATGCGCTTAGCAATGAAAGGTGATGAACCAAAATAAATTGGAAAGAGAAATCACATCACCAGAAACAAAACCCATGCATGCCAGATGCACCACTTGTTAACTCACAACCCTGGTACGGGAAGAAAGGAGACCGGGACCAGCGCAGCAAACCAGCCGTGCAAGGGTGGCTCAAAGAAGAAACCTACCACCCCAAAATTTAACCAAAAAGGTCGCAACGAATGAAGACCCCTTCATAAAGGAGAGTGCGGGCGGATCAAAAAGAGAAAAGGACACAACAAAGCACTAAACCCGTGGCGGAAGATCCGCCAACAAACGTTGCCCTATTCCAAGAGCAACCCTACTTGGCTGAACTCATGACCAGTAGATCCAACCAACCGATTGAAACAAATCATTGCAAGCAAATCACCGTTGCGGAAGCTTTGCTTTGTTAATCCGACACCAACACCTCCACTGTTCCTCACACCAAACATCAACTCCAACACACTGTGCCAGCAAGCTTCCTTCCGGCATCTGTCTGCTTGTTGGGAAAAACAATGCTGTTTGATGCGCCAGCAATTTC